CATTATACATCTGCTAGATTAGCAATAATTTAAAAGTCTGACCATTTTAAGCATCGGTGACATTCACACAAGAAATGCCCAAATCTGAGTATTTGAGGCAAACCGACCACAATTGTCGGGAAGCAAGATCTCCAGTGATCCGGAGAATGCCAGTTTGCTGTTTCTTCACTGCATTTGGCATTAAGGAGGGATCTTCAGGAAGATTGCAGGAAGGGGAGAGAAAGCCAAGCGCAGGACAGTTAACAAGATTATGTGCTCCCTTGAGAGTACTTTTGCCTTGCCGGGGTCTGGAAAAGATGATTACTTTGGACTTTTCAAAGACGTGTTAACCTAGATGCACAAGAACAGTGGGCAGGACTTGCTTAAAACCCTTTCAACTAAAGAAGTTATAGGCCTGAGGCGAGAGGACTCACCAAGACCTGCCCAGCTGGGAACTTGTGGTCAGATGGCCCTGTGAAGCTACTTTTGGTTAGATTTATTACAGCGCCCCCTTTCTTCCATAGTGAGGATGTGGGAAAACTAGGAGGATTCCCGTATCCTGTAAAACCCGATACAACTGCTTTGGAAAGCAGAACAACTTGATGCCATTGCGCAAGTTGAAAATGCATATATCCTTTGCTCCAAACTCTATTGCCTTAGAGCAGTGGTGCTTTTCCACCTACTAGTGGCTCATGAACTCAGTCTAATGGGTCATGTCCAGCATTTTGCCTGTTACAACACCTATCATATGATAGCATAATTATTTTTTTCCTTTTAAAATCTTCTTAAATTAGTTGCTAACCTTTACAAACTTGAATTTCTGGCTTTACCTGAAAATTTGGAGGCTCTGACACAATGTGACGAAGTGCCCAGAGTGTCTTCCTCGGGGGGCACGTTCTCTAATTCAATGTGCCCTCAGCACACCCCGTTGTTTTGCTGGTATCTCATCTGCTTTGTGTGTGCTGGCCCTTCTAGGTATTTGAGTCCTAAACCTAGGACTAAATACATAATTAAATAAATAAACCCAGGACTGGTATCATTGATTGTGTGGCTCAAACAACTGACATTTATTTTCTCAGTTCAGGATGCAGGAAGTCTGCCGAGATCAGGAAGCCACCAGGGCTGGTTTCTGTTCATGGCCCTCTTTCTGGCTTGCTGCCTTCTCACAGTGCCCTCATCTGGTGGAGAGAGTAAGAGAGAGAGAGAGAGACACAATTATTTTCTAATTTTAACTTATCAATTGATTTTAGAGAAAGGGGGAGAAAGAGAGAGAGAGAGACATCGATTTGTTGTTCTACTCACTTATGCATCTATTGGTTGATTCTTGTATGTGCCCTGACTGAGGATCCAACTCAAAACCTTGGTGTGTTGAGACAACGTTCTAAGGAGCTGAGCCACCCCAACCAGGGCTGAAGCATGTCAATCTTCTCTACTAAACATCTGAGCTTTTGGAGCAAAAGGCCCTGACATTTTCCTGGAACCTACCAGAAGGGCTACAGAGCAGGCCCTCAAATGTCCGCTAAATGAACAACAGCAAGTGCTGACAACCAGTTGAATGACATATGGGATTGGGGAGCTCAAATCAGGTTCCCACTGAACGCAGCACAAATCTGGAACCACTTAAAGATGTTCACCACTTGGAGGCAGTCTGGTGGTTCCTCACTATCTCTTATCCAGATCTTTATAAAATAACTTGATATCCTGAACCTTCGGTCTCTTCCCACTCTAATCTGTGTTAACTCCAGAGTAATTTTTCCAAAACATCACCTTCATTTTGTCATTTCCTTGGGCAAAATGCATTATAATTCCCTAGTACCTTTCAAATCAAATCCCTATCTTTAACCTTTACACCTGAGGTCCACAAGCAAATCTAATCTTCACATGAGGTCCTGAAAAGTACTGCCTCACTTTAGTATTTCAAACAGTCTCTCAAACGTTTTATAATGTAAACTATCCTAATTAGGCCTGTGGGAGATGGTCAATAACTGTGAAATTAGTGAATTAATTAACTATTTATTAGTGAATGAAAGAACACAAAATATAAAACAATGTCCTTTCTAAGGAATTATTTTGAGAGGAAAAACATTATCTTATACTCCGATATATAAGATATTTATTCAATTAGTAGACACTTAATAACCTGGCACCTCTTGTGCCAGGGACTGTGCTACAGACCAGAAATACAGTGAGCTTAGAATCAAATAGGGAACACAGTCATTAAATGTATAATGCCACTGTTAATTATGATAATTTTAAATACCGTGAAGGATAAGTATAGCTAGCTACAGGACAAGTTACAGGGAAACCTGACTCTGCGGGCTGAAGAGTTTCCGGTGAGAGTGCTGTTTACACACAAGCAGCAGTAATTCACATGCCCAGTCTGTCTGGTTCCAACTGCTGACTCAGGTCTTTTCTTTTCTTTTCTTTTTGTAGGATTATTTTTAGAGAAGGGGGATAGAGGGAGAAACATCCATGTTCAAGAGAAACATCAATCAGCTGTCTCTCCTATGTGCCCAGACCAGGGACCTGGCCCACAGCCTCGGCACGTGCCCCTACTGGGAATTGAACCAGCAATGTTTGAACCAGTCCTTAAGCCAGCGCTCAATCCACTGAGCCGCACCACACAGGGGCAGATCTTGAGTAGGTTACTTATAACCTCCCTTTCCTCACTTAGAAAGTGGAGCTACCTCATGAAGTAAGGACTAAACGATTTAATATATGTTCTTAATACACTAAGAACAATGAAGGCACATAGTATCTGCTCAATAATGCTAGCTATTATTACCATTTCTAGCTGGAAGGCATGCTAGAAAGAAGGCAAGTAGAAAGAAAGAAACTCCAAGCAAAGAGCAACATGTGCAAAAGCCCAAGGGCATAAAGTTGCCTGGCCTTGGTAGAACTTAAAGGCCAGGATTTCTTAGCATAGAAAGCTGAAGAGAAAGGGATACCATGAGACATGAGGTGAGGCTGGGAAGGGAGGTCAGGTTAACGAGCCCGAAGTTTATCCTTGGAGTCAGAGGAAACATGAAAGGTTTTATAAAGGAAAGCGAGAAGTTAAGATTTGCAATTTTAAGAGCATTCTCTGGCTACAGTATGGAGAACTTGTTGGAGAAAAGCCAAAACAGATGACAGGAAACTACTCTAGTAATCGAGATCGGTGGCACAGGAGAGAGAAGGAAAGTGGATGACTGAAGAAACAGAAAACAGAACCAACGAGACCCAGTGTGTGTGTACTGGGCTGAGGGGCACTACACCAGAAATATTTGAGGCATCTCCCCACACTGTTTCACTGTATGAAATGCCTTTCCTCTGTCCTCCTGCACAGTTCCTTCCCTTCCCATTTCCTTCACAAAATTCTGATCCTACCCACTTCTTTCCAGGGGTGTTCTAGAATTTTAGAACTGAACATTCTTTTTATTTAGAGAGAGGAGAAGGAATGGAGAGAGAGGGGGAAACATCAATATGTGGTTGCCTCTCCTGCGCCCCCTACTGGGGACCTGGCCTGCACCCCACGCATGTACCCTCATGGGGAATTGAACCCATGATCCCTTGCTTTGCAGGAGCATGCTCAATCCACTGAGCCACACCGACCAGGGCATAGAACTGAACCTTCCTGAGAGATAAAGAGCAGTTAAGAGGAGTTGGAAATTGCCAGAAGGCAGAGATCATTTTTTAGTCAACTCTGTATCTCGCCCACTTAGCACTTGCAGACAGCCGCCCACGCACAGAACTTTTCCTCTGACTACAGGAGTGGTACAGTCCTGCGCAGCCCACGCTGACAGAAAGCTCTGTGACCCAGAAAGCCTCCTACAGCCGTGGGAACTTTGGCAACCATTTTCCTCTTGGACTTTCACAGAACTTTTGTAAGTCAGGTACTATTTATTATAAAGGAAACAAACTCAGAGCTAGAGTGACACGTCCGAAGTTACACATATATTTAAGGAAGTAGCAGTGCTGAGATTTGAACCAAGATCTCCTCCTTCCAAATGGGTGCTTGTCAGAATGGTCGAGTGGTCTAAAGCACCAGACTCCAGCCTCTGCTTTCAAATGGAATGCTCTATTATCCTTCATGGGAAGTAAATACAGGGCAGCACTAAAGTATGTTTATAGTTGTGTGTGACAGTGTATTATTGCAGTATTATTTATTTTCCATACAAACCGCTGTAACTCTGCTTTTGCCCCATCCTGTATTCATGTGTACTCAAGAAGACTTAACTCTTGGAGGCAGCTAAGTGCCACTTCTGGGAATCTTTTCCAGTTTCAGTTATTAATTAATTTGTTTAAAAATGTTTATTTCATACCTACTACGCGCCAGGTATGGCACCTAGTGATAGGGGTAAGGTATAACAGTGAACAAGACAAGATGCTTGCCCTCAATCTGGTTCCGGGAACCTGCTAAACAAGGAAACAAAGGTATAAACGATGTAAGTGCTGAGTGCTATAAATAACATACACAGGGTGATAGGGGGGAAAATGTGTGTACTTTGGTCAGAGAAAGCCTCTTAGGAAAGTGGCATTTGAAACCCAAGTTGGGTCTGCAGGAGGTGTTTAAGGAGAGATATTTTCCTACAAACCTAATCCGGGAAACCCAACAATAAGAAAAAGCAGACTTGGTTTGCACCGAGGGTACTCCCAGGCCTCCGGCCACCTGACAGTAACTGGAAAAGGACAGTTTCCAGACGAGTCGACCCCCTACTAGAGAACGCCGCGGGTCCTCCCAGCCCCCAGGAGGCGCCAGGGCCCCAGGCACTGTAAGATTGACTTCCGGCACCTACCGCCTTCAGGCCCCAAAGCCTGGGGTACGGACACAAGGCGTAGACGACGATAGGGAATTGAGAGGGTCACTAGGCCGTCAAAGAGAGGACGTCCTCCAGATCGCAAACCCTACCATTGGCACAACACTCGCTCCCTTTGGGATAGCCCGCTTCCAGCACCTTTAAACTAGGAAGTACTGGCTGCGTCCAATCCGACCCTTTCTTCCGTACTCAGTCTCTCCAGTCTTCGGCTTTCGTTCGAGCTGGATGAGCGCAAGGCGAGCGGTCTACGGTTACCAATCAGCTCCCAGAGAAGGCGCATGCGTAATTAAACGAACGCGACTTACTGTGAACCACGACCTGAAGAAAAAAACCTCTTTTGCCCCCTCCCTCGCTGAGAAGATGGCGCTCTCCAGGGTGTGCTGGGCTCGGACTGCTCTGTGGGGTTCAGCGGTCACCCCCGCACCTTATGTCACCCGGAGGCTGCAACTTGTTCGCTTTGGACTGGCCTGGGGGGCCCCTCGGTGAGGGACCTGGAAAAGGAAAAGCATTTTTTGACGTACAGGCCCTTCTAGTGTCTCATTCTTCCTTGCATGCTGTCTCTTAGTAGTCAGGGTTCCACTCTCTGGCCTCGGGATTTTTATTCTTCTGTTCAGAAATCGCACCCCGAACCCCCCTAGTGACCTGGCTTCTTGACGTTCTGATCTCTTAATACCCTATGTAGAATTCCCGGCACGTCGTGACTTCGTTTTTCGGCTTCCCTTTTCCGACTCAGGTTTTACCGCTGTTTACCTCGGTCCCACCTGTCTGGCTTGATCCTGCTGCTCTGGCCTCAAACTGTGCGCTCCATCCTGACTTGTGCCACTCCCCGACTTGCTTTCCTGCCTAGCCTCTCATCTACATCATTTGTTTTTTTCAGTCTGATGGCTTATCTCCTCTTGATCCCAAGGTCTTCCTTGTATTTCGGAGGTTTTAGTGTACATTCTATGAGGCCTGTGTTTTACATCAGGGACGCCAGGTATGAGGAGGCTTCTTGGACTGATTCCCAGATAGTCTGTTTGATCCTCCTTGTAGGTCTTCAAAGCTTCACCTTTCTCCAAAGGCAGATGTGAAGAGCTTAATCTCTTATGTGGTGACTAAGACAAAAGTGATTAGTGGGAAGTACCATCGTTTTTTGGATCGTCATTTCCCCCGCTTCTATGTCCTGTACACAACCTTCATGAAAGGTAAAAACTGAAATAGAAATCACTAGAATTAGCTCTAGGGCAAAGTCAGAAGGTTAGACTAAGTAAGATAATTTGCAGGTTTTGTTATGGGAGAGTGAGCAGGGGGTCTTATGTTTCATAAATGCTCGAGTGTTAAAATAAATCTTTTAAGTTAGCACTTCTTGAGGGTGTTTCTAGAGGTATTGTGAGAGCAGCCCTGGTGGAGTAGCTTAGTTGGTTGGAGCATCGTCCCTATACACAAGGTTCAGGTTCAACACGCCCCTCCCCTCAGGGTTCACACAACATTCAACCAGTGAATGCACGATGTCTGTCTCCCTCCCTCTCTCAAATTAAAATTAAAATTAAATTAATAATTAAATTAAAATTATTTTTAATAATTTTTTTAATTTTTAAAAAGAAAAGGCATTATGAGAAACAACTTCTAACAATATCCAGAGGGAATATAGGTGTTTTTGCACTTTTCTTAACCACACACGTAACTATAGTAGAAAGTCTGCTGTGCACAGCAGCAAGGGTCTATGGCTGCACAGACTTGCCCTGTGATTTATCAGTTGAGTTGGCCCATAAGAAAATGGGGTTTAATGCTTGTTACAAACCTATCCTAGGTAGCATAGTGTGGAAATAGCTCTGCAGTGCTTGGTTTCTGAATGTTTTGGTTCAAATCAGAGCTATGCTAATTACTAGGAGATGGTATAGTGCCAAGTGCCTACTCTGGCACCAGAGTGCCTGGGCTCTCTGGCGGTGTGATTGGGCTAGTTACCTAACCTCTTCATCGTTTGGTCTTATCTGTGAATTGGGAATAATGAAACCTACCTGTGTGACCTTACAGTTGTGAAGATTAAATTAATACATGTAAAATAGTTAAGGCCTGATATAGTAAGGGCTCAATAAATGTGCCCATAACTATTATTATACTCTATACTTTTATCATAATATCAATTATAATAAATACCACAGTCAGCTCTGAATATTATCATAATTATTACTAGCTTTGTGACCATTATTACCACATGCTTTCTTCTGTATTATGTTGAAGCCAACCTAGACAGTATATTATTTCATTCATAAGGAGGAAAGCATTTTTAAAAACTAATGTTCTAGTTAAATGTAAGAATTCTAGCATGAAGAGAAAAATGCAACCCTAGAAATATGTTGCATTACAGTAATTATAAAAGTGTGTTAGAAAGGGGATAAGTTAATTTCTGGTTGGGGAATACAGAGTTGATCGAAGACTTCCTGAGGTTAGGGAGCTTTGACATTTTGCTTTAAAAAGGGAATGAGTAATGAAGCAGAAAAGAGAGACCATTCCATAGTAGATGCAGAAGGCCCACTTGACTAGAAGAGAAGTGATGTACTGTGGGAAAAAGGATGAGAAAAGACAGGTAGCGTGGCCTCACAAGAGCTGCAAGTGGCCTAGATGGAATTTTAATTTCGAGTAGTGTTGGGGAGGGACAAACGTGTGTGTTGGGGTGGGCTTGGAATAGGAGGCTGTGGTAAGATTCATACTGGTAACATCACACTCTGTCCTCTGCTTCAATGAGGCAGGATTGCAGATGATTTGGGCTGATGCCAAGAAGGCTAAGAGAATACAGACAAACATGTGGAAGCACAATATAAAGTTTCATCAACTTTCATACCGGGAGATGGAGCATTTGAGACAGGTATGGGCCAGGGGCAGGTACCCAGAAGTTCACGGTGAGATAATTAAAATTAACTAAGATCTCAAGTGTTTTTTCTTTTCTGTTTTGTTAACCACTGACCAAGCTTTTGCCCTTTGCCGTGAGATTAAAGTATTGAATTAAAAGAGCATCAGATTATTTGCCAAAATTGGATTCTTTCAGAGTTGTAGCCCTCTGTAGCAGAGCTCTATAGAATTTCAGGTGCACTTTCTGAATAAAAGTTATAGGCAGTAAAATCTAATTTGTTTCTGAACACAGAAAAATCTGCAAGGATCCAAAAGGCAGCAGGAAAGTGATATTTGATGGTGACTTGATGGGTAGTTTTGGAGCTGAGAGTAAGATTCTAGGGCCCATTCTGCAGATCAGGAAGAATTCTCTGAGAGATTTGGTATAATGTCAGGCCTCGTACTCGGGAATATTTGGGATACAAAAGTAAATAAGTCAGGGCTTTTGTCCTCAAAGAACCTATCAGCTACAGGTAGACAGAAATAACCTTGATCCTTTGCTGGGCTGTAGTAGAAGCTCACTGCACAGTGGGGTGGCGGGGGTGACCACTGCGTTAAGAATGTGGGCTAAAACTGCATCTGTGTTTATTTCTGCGTAGTTCCGTCGAGACGTCACCAAGTGCCTTTTCCTAGGTATTGTTTCCATCCCACCCTTTGCCAACTACCTGGTCTTCTTGCTAATGTGAGTACAGACTTATGTCTCCCTATCATATTGAAGGTCTATAGATTTTTAAAAATCGCAATTATTTTAAGGAGAACTTTCCATTCAGAAGCTAAGCAGAAGTTATCAAACTTCCTGCTCCAGTCTTTTCATTAGCCCCGGGTTCATAAAAGCCATTCAGAATGCCCGGGTTGCTGGGATAGCTGTAAATGTGGGTGGTCTGGACTCTCCCTGTCTCTGAGCTGCCCCTACATGATGTGAAATAAGATAACGACCTTTTTCATTATCCCCAGAGGCAATAACCCACTCCCTGAGAGACATAGCAATTTGGGACAAATTTTTTTTCTTCAGGAGAGAAGTGCATTTCATATTTTAAAAACGTAAATCTTTATTACTTTATCTCCGAAGATGACACTTTTAGATTATGACCTTGCACGTTCTAGTTCTCTGTTGCTGCACAGTAAACAACTTCAAAGCTTAATGGCTTAAAACAAGCACCATTTTTATGACCTGCTGGGTCAAGAATTTGGTCAGGTAGGTGATGGACATTTCTCTTTCGTGTGGTGTTGACAGAGGTCCCTCACTGACAGTGAGCTGGTGAAGGTTCTAGTCTGGGTGGTTTGAGGGCACTTTGCCCTGTCTGGTGCCTTCGCGGGGGTGGCTGGAAGACTGGGATGGTCAACCACAGTGTCCACTTGTGGCCTCAGGATAGTGCGATTTCTCCAGTGGCAGCTTAGAGCTCCCGGAGTGAGTGTGCCAGCAAGTAAGAACCCACATGGCCCAGAGAAACCATTGTCGCCCAGGCTTAGAGTTCACGAAGATGTACTTCTACTCTCTTCTGTTGGCTGAGTCAGTCACCCAGATTTTAAAAAGGGACATAGACATCACCTCTCAATAAGAGGAGTGCCAGGGAATTTGTGGCCATATTTTAAAACCGTCACACAGGTAGGGAAATAAATTAAAAGCAATTTTGCCCTTTTTACTTTGTATACACATGAAGACTGTATTACTGTTTGAGGTTGTCAACATCGCATACAGTGTCCAGCTCTGTAACTCTGTCCAGCTGTGGCCAAAATTCTCACTAGCGTTGGTTCAAAGGAGTCATTTTATCTGGCTGCTGCCTGCATTCCTCTTCCACTGCTGCTTCCTTTCACAGAACCTCAGCAGTGCGGCTCGACCTTGTGTTTCACTGTATCTCTAAACCTTGGTCTGAGAGCATTTGCAAAAAAAGAGCAGTGTGGTAGGGAAACTGTCTCCACCTCTTCCTAGTGTTCATGTCTGCGAACACTTTCAAAGCATGTCTGCTTTGAAAGTGACTGTGTGATGCCTTTTCCTTTCAGGTATCTGTTTCCTAGGCAACTACTGATCAAACATTTCTGGACCCCAAAGCAACAAATTGACTTCTTAGAGATCTATCATGCTATTCGGAAGCAGTCCCACCCAGAAATCCTTTGTTATTTAGAAAAAATTATCCCTCGCATTTCTGATGCAGGACTCCGGTGGCACATGACAGAGCTGTGCACCAAGGTATTTCTCCAGTTAACCCTTGTTCCAGACTGGGAATCTTGTGAGATTCAATTTGCAACAGCTACCTACCTCTTACCTCTCTCACCCTCTCCCAAGATGCAGCGTGGTACCCATCCAGCAGCACATGATATCCTGGCTCTGAGAGAGGGTTTCTCGAAGCATCCCCTGAGCATGAACCAGCTCCATACTTCACAAATGGTGAGTACTCAGAGGCTTTCTCTTCCCGCAGCTTCACTTTGCTTCAGGTCTTTGCTTGCAGTGGTGCTGTGTTGACTTTCTCCTCCTATATTGTGTCACAGAAAGCCTTGAGTCGAGCCATGCTTCTCACACCTCACCTGCCATCTGTCTTGTTGAGACACCGTTTAAAGACTCACACCACTGTGATTCACCAACTGGACAAGGCTTTGGCGAAGCTGGGGATTAGCCAGCTGACTGCACAGGAAGTGAAATCGGTAAGAGCCTGATTGCAGTACCGACCTTCCACCCTTGGTGGACTTTTGAGTTCACAGGGCTGGAAGCTTAGAAGGAGCTTGTTGTCTTGCTTGTTACAGCAAAATTCAAGCTCTTTATTCTCTCACCTCATTTCTAGATCTTTTTTTTTCCTCAGTGAACTTAAGTACTGGGAAGGAATTATCCATAGTAATTTTGGTTTATGTGTCTTTTGGTCCTTCAAAAATCAAGGCCTCTTTGCTTGTCATCTTAGTTCAAACTGCCCTGGGGAAAGGTTTCTTGGGATGAGGTCGTAACTTATTTCAAGGCGATTTCGGGTTATTTGTGGGGTTACACTTCTGTGGCACACTTGCTCTGTGATTATTAAGGACCATTTTTCTCCTGAGTGTTGCAGGCTTGTTATCTTCGTGGCTTGAATTCTACCCTTATTGCAGAAGACAGGTGTCGAACTTGGCTGGCAGAATGGCTGCAGATTTCCTGCAACCTGAAAGGTAAGACAGATCTCTATGGCTTAACCAAAATCCAAGTCATTTTTGTATTTTATTCTAAGATTATTTTGGATTTATTTATATATTTTAGATATTTATTTATAGATAAGGGAAGAGAGGGAGAGAAACATCAATGTGTGGTTGCCTCTCATGTGCCGTCCACTGAGGACCTGGCCCACAACCCAGTCATGTGCCCTGATCGGGAACTGAACTGGCAACCCTTTGGTTTGTAGGCTGGCATTCAATCCGCTGAGCCACACTGGCCAGGGTTATTTTGGATTTAATTACTGAGTACTGTGAGGCCCTTCTCTCACATATATGTCTAATTGGAAGGCACAAGCTCATTAGCCTACAGGGGCTAAGCAGGTAACAAAATAGACCATACAAGATGAGCGAGTGCACAGTGGGGACGGTGGGAGCACCAGTGTGAGTGCACACCTGTCTGAAGCATTTCTCTGCCCTGTCGTGAAGGCCGTCCTGTGCTGTATGGGGTGTTTACAAGATCCCTGGTCTCTACCCACCACATGCCAGTAGTACCACCCTTCACCCCAGTTCTGACGACCCAAAACGTCCTAAGATGTTGCCAAAGCCCGGGTGGGAGGGGAGAGCAGAGTGTCTGAGTTGAGAAGTACTAGTCTAAAGGTATCCAGATTCAAAACAAAACCACTCAGTTGGCTAAACAATAAGCATCTCAGCATGTAGGCTGGTGGGTCTCCTGTTCGGAACCTTTGGCTGGGCCTTGATGTTTCCTAAGCCTGTGAATATCAGGTAGGCCTGCTAATCCCATTCCAGCTGAGAAATATCACCAGAGCTCTAACTTCTACCAGAAGAATCCCAAGGGTGACAGCGGTGTTTAGTACCATTGCTATTTCTGAATTTTCTGCAGCTGTCACAGGAGAGTCGAGAAATGATGAGCCCTGGTCTGTGAACTGAAAGGTTGCTGGTTCGATTCCCAGTCAGGCCACCTACCTGGGTTACAGTCACATTCTTATGTGGGGACCTGCTAGAGGAAATCAGTCAACGTTTCTCTCACATGTCCATTTCCTCTCCCTTCCTTCCCCTCTAAAAAAAAAAAGACATGAGGATGAGTAGATAGGAGTCTGTGGTGGAAGGAGAGGAGAGTACACGTGCAGGGACTGGAGCGAAGCAGGGGGCTGGGGAACAACAGCCCTCACATCAGGCCTCCTGCACGGGCTCCCTGCCTCTGGCTTCCAGTCCCGTAAACCAGGGCCTGCTGCACGGGCTCCCTGCCTCTGGCTTCCAGTCCCGTAAACCAGGGCCTGCTGCATGGGCTCCCTGCCTCTGGCTTCCAGTCCCGTAAACCAGGGCCTGCTGCATGGGCTCCCTGCCTCTGGCTTCCAGTCCCGTAAACCAGGGCCTGCTGCATGGGCTCCCTGCCTCTGGCTTCCAGTCCCGTAAACCAGGGCCTGCTGCATGGGCTCCCTGCCTCTGGCTTCCAGTCCCGTAAACCAAGGCAGTTGGAAGGTGAGCTGTGCCCTGGCCAAACCATTAACGCTGATGGTGTTTTCAGAAGCTGAGCTGTCCCTTTTGCTACACAACGTGGTCCTGCTTTCCGTCAACTACACCGGGACGAGGCGCTGAGGGAACATGGAGCAGATGCCACTGTCCTGCTGTCACAGCACTGCAGTGTGGGACCAAGCAGCACTTGTCAGCACAGTCCGTGTGCACTGCTGGGTGTGTGAGGCAGAAGAGCGGGTGCCACCGGCTTCAATGCGGCACCCATGTGGGAGCTGGGACCGAAACAAACCCTCTTGCACAGGCGGCCCACGGGAGGCGTCATTCCCAGCTCCCTTGGAATTAGCTGGCCATGGAAGCAGCCACTGCACTGGGCTTTACTGTGACATGTGTAGTTCAGATCCTAGGAAGTAAGCGTTGGCCCCAGGTGGGAGTCCTCGTCTGGCCTGGGGCCTAGCACTGCCGCCTTCTTCTGAGCAGTGTGCGTGTTAAAGCCTGTTTCTGGCTGGGGAGGGGATGGCGCCACTTATACTGGAGCCAGTTACATGCATGTTCTACGACGCTCCTCTTAATCCTGAGGTGACCAAAAGTAGGAATTTTCTCGTCCCCTTCATTGGGGTAACTAACCTCTTTCCTTCTCAAATCCTTTTACCAGTGTAACTTTTTTAGTGAAATAACTTATGGGAACATTTGAATAGAAAAGATGAAAGGAAATGCAAGTGCTTCTTGTCCCCTTCCCCAGGGTTTAAAGCCTTCACACCCTTGTCTTAATTTCTGGGCTGTGCTACAACCCCTGTGGATCTTAAACTCTGCTACCTCCACTGTGTTGCAGCCTTCCCACTGTCACCTACAGTGGTGCTGCAGCCTTCCCACTGTCACCTACAGTGGCTGCTGTCTTTGGGCCACGGATGAAACCCGTCCCGTACTAGTTACTACCCAGCCCAGGAGACCAGGAGAGGTCTGCATCGAGATAGTAAGTTGGGGTTAGCTTTTGTCTCTATTTACATCAGTGACCTGTAGTAACTTATTGTGAATGCATGAAGCACTGTTTTTAAACCCAAGTAAAGATGGTCTGAAATCAATTGCTGGCAGTTACTTATGCATACTCTAATCATTTTGCTAAGACTCATAACCAAACTAATGGGGAGATAACTGGTGGGAATAGAACTTTCTAATGGGATGGCAGTTACGGAGGAACTGATTTGAAATTGATTCTGTTGCTGGATTTTGAATGGTAACTAGGAAAGAAAAACTCATATATATATATATATATATATATATATATATATATATATAGTAATGAAATTGAGTCCTGGCTGGTGTAGCTCAGTGGATTGAGTGCAGGCCGCAAACCAACAGGTCACTGGTTCAATTCCCAGTCAGGGCACATACATGCCTGGGTTGCAGGCCAGGTCACCAGTGGGGGCCATGTGAGAAGCAACCACACATTGATGTTTCTTTCCCTTTCTCCCTCCTTTACCCTCTCTCTAAAAATAAATAAAGCCCTTAAAAAGAAAGTAATGAAATTGAAAATGGGCCCCAAGAGCAGGGACTGTAGACAGGGAGAAGCTCCAGCCAGGCAGGGTCAGAGCCTGTTCAGCTGATGAGGGGCCACAGGCCTAATGATGCCAGTGACGCTCTTGATGCTCCAAAGAGAACGTTCTGTTTTTCCACCATAAACTCTTCTGTTGTTAACATGAATCCCTAACTGACCTAATTAGTTTCATACACAATGCTGCAGAAGTATCCTTTTTCTAACAAGTAACTGGACTGTGGCCTGCCAAGATAAAGAGCAACACACCATTGTTTTGAATATTTCTTTAATATTACAGTTAAATATTCTCTTTAAATACAGCATTATCACAATGTAAAGGACCTAAAAGGCAAAAAAAAAAAAAAATTTTTTTTTCAGAGAACCAGACAAGCTTTGGATTCACATTGAAAATACAACCTGTATATAGTATACGAGGAGATTGGAAAATAATGAGTTGCAGTAAGAAGTCATTTCTTTTGTCTAGGCCCGGACTAAGCGGGATCGAAGCCATCTGCTTCTGTGAGCAGAGGCCTAGCTTTTCTAGCAACCATGAGCTCTAATTGTGTCCAACTCAGGTAGCACCAGGAATGAGATAGACCAGGTTGCAGAAAAGGCCCTTTGCTTAACAACACAGTTAATGCTAAGTGTTAACACTTAGCATTTAAAAGCTTAGGAGCAGTGTGAATCAGAATTGTGGAGTTAACAAAGGGTTTAAATGAAGAAAACTAGTTTCTTCAGAAAAATCATCATGGGGGTTGGCAATGAGTTTAGTAAATTAGACTCAAAGTCTTGCTTTGATCCCAAAGGCTAACACGTCTCTGAGCACCAGAAACACTTCCTAGATTAGGAACCCTTCCTAAGGAGGGAATGTTTACAGCTCACCCTCCCCTTCCAACACAAACTTTCAGATTCTCCAGAGTCCAATTCCCAACCAAGCTTCGGGCTTGTATTTGAGGGGACCAGTCTAAGGTGCAGGGTGGGGAGGGTTGCAGATCGGTTGGAATAGCTTCTAGGTCGTCTCAGGTACTTAAGACTCTCAGCTCTGTCTCTTGAAGCTAGAAGATGGGGAGTGTTAAGGACCCATGTACTTAATTAAGAACCTTCCCCGCCAGGAACAGGGGAGGCGGGTGGGTTAAAAGACGTCTGCGTGTTAAGTACAAGGCCTGTCAGGCTCAGTTCAGCGATTTTACAGGAGAAGGACTGCTGCGACCTACATGAAGGCTGCTCCGAGACCGCAGGGTCTCAGTGTCCCACAAGAGGATTTATGAGCAAGAGAAGCAGGAACAGTTATCTCCCCCACCAAGAAAGGTTTTCCACTTTGTTCTACCCTGGTTAGTGAACTGTAACCAGCAAAGCATGTTGTGAAGGATGCTAGAGGAGAGTGTCTTGCTCCCCAATATCTCCATTTTAAAGCAAAGATAACATTGCTAATGAGTTCAGTGGCACGCACCCAGGAGCAAAAGCTGGACGTGAGAGGGGCAGGAGTTGTATACCCAGGCAGAGGTAAGAACTGGGTGTGAGTCCTCCTTGAGACCTCGGAGGTGGTCAGCAGAACTTTAACTCTTTGGAACGTGGAAGTTGTATGTAGTATTTAAGAATTGATTTGGCTTCCAATTTTTATATATCAAGATGGAGGGGTCTAATAAAGAGTTGCAGTTTTGGGGGGTGAACTGGAATGGTATAAATCTCCAACCCTGTATATCCAAGAGGGACCACCAGGGTAGATACAGAAAAAGGAAAAAAACCCCAAACTGGTTGGTGACCGTAGATTACTGCATCTTATATTTCTTTAAAGCTCAAATCTCCCACGTGGGGAGCCGGTGGTGCCTGGGCGAAAGCAAGCTTGGCACAAAGAAGTTGACATCTTTGCAGGCTGCTATCTGCTCCTGCTGCCTCCTTTGGATACACTTAACACTCCATTTACGCCTCCATCGGCCCAGCCTAGAGCAGCCAATGGAGCTAGTGTTAGACACACAAAGAAGACTCAGGCTCTTCATGCCACATCCCCAGCCAATCTAGCTCTTAAAGGCAGGCCTGGGGTGGGTTGGGGAGGGGGAGACAAACAGACGAGTTCAACTCTAGTACCTAAGAACATAAGAAAGAAACAATTCAAGTTACAAACCAGGAATCCCCAGTGTGGGGAACAAGTCAGAGAACACCAAACATGTCAAATATTAACTTATTTACCAAATGGGGGACGGGGGAGGACGGGGTAAATTTTTATGAACCCTAGAGGTTTTGTACAGAGGCAGAGACCCTTCTACCCCCTCCTCTCCAGGTAACATTTCTGACTGTTGTTACAACACACCAAAATGAGATATCGGAGTAGCCACCGAGAAAAATGAGCTTGCACCCCCCCTGGAGCTCGGGAGAGAAGGGGCTTTGCCATGCTGTTCAAATTATGTATTCTGATCCCCACATAAAGAATAGCTGCTTGAATTACCTAGATTCTCCTGTGAGATCCTAGTTTTCTGTTCCGATGGCCCAGAAAGCTCAGCACTGGGCACTATGCAGCCAGCCTCCTCTGCCCCGAGACTATTCCCAGATCAAGCTGGGGCCGGTCTCCTTGGTTTTGTTAACCCTTTTAAAAATACTTGTACAAACGATCCTTTCCCACCCATTTCCCAACAGCCCCAATAAAATAACATAGGAGCAGCAGCTGCTTCTACAGTTTGTTCTGAAATGGTGTTAGATAAAATAAGGGAATAAATAGAGAAGGGTAAGAGACAGAATCTCTATCTGCATGTCACACTGCCAGAGGAAGTTCCAGAGAAGGATCTTCAGGGGGCCGGTCCTCGCCCTGCTGTGAGGTCTTCTCCACCACACAGCTTGCTTCACTGTCCGGGCTGAAGGGGAGGTTCGAGGGGGACCACGAGGGGCGGAAGTCTTCGTTCTCCGGCTCCTCAGGGTTACAATCTTCAGGCATTAGCGCCTCTAGGGTGGATGTTTTCCCGACCTCTGGTTTACAGAGGGCAGCTGGGTCTGTGGGGCTACAAGCCACCAGTGAGGTAACAGGGAGTGAGAAGACACTGAGATCCTTCTCCTTGGGTAAAGAGGGTGGGGCTTCTCCTGTATTAGGCTCTCCTTTCACCCCCAGGACTGGCCTCTGCTCCACCTGATAATAGACCAGGGGCCCACTGTTCAAATAGGACGGACTGGTCACTGCTGAAGCAGCTGGGTGGTCCGAGTTCTCGGCAAAACACAGGACCGAGGAGCCTGGGGTCAGCTGAGCCTGGATGAGAATGGGGGCTGTCAGGCCTGGGCACAGCTCTTCGGAGACGGCCAGGGGCTCCTCCAGGATACACACGCCCAGGCTCTCTATGCTGGAGTCCAGGCTGGCACTAGAGCCACTGGAGTCTTCCTCTGCCTTGAGCCGCTCCAGCTCCTCCGCACTCTGCAGGTGCATCACTGCCGTCTCGTTCTCAGCAATGAACTCCTGGAAGTCCTGCGTCTCAGATCCCTGCGCCCCAGTCAGACTGCAGCTGGCGGTGGGTGAGGGCTCCTCCTCTGGGGCGGGCGGGCGGCTCACCTGCCGCTTGCTCTCCAGCTCCAGCTTCATGATGGTGTGGAGGTAATGAGTCCGGACCCGGATTGGATTAAATTCAATGCGCCCAGCCATGTTCCCACAGCCATCCCGGGAGCAGCCACATGGAAAGGACATGCGATCCACCTGAGGAGGGCACAAGGAGGTTGAGGCGAGAAGAGACCAACAGATTTAACAAAGATGACAAGAGACATTGGCTGGCAAAGAAAAGGCAGCTGGAATTTGTGGTCTCTTTCTAAGAGACAACCAATTCAAAGCAACATGCAGTGTGAGCTAACACAGCACCAGACGGTAGTTACCAATCCACTTGTCTTTTCATTCCAGTGCAGCTTCGTTTTTCTTTTTAGGGCTTTGTTTCCTCTTCTCAACAAAAAGTAGACAGAAGTCATATCACAGGGCCCTTCCAAGTTCAAAAGTCCAGATAGACACCTCTCTGAACACCAACAGTTCTCAAAGCAGAAGAAATTTACATGCCTCAGATACTTGAGAAGTTACTGGGTTTACTGAGGAAACCAAAGCCTGGGGTCTGAGCCTCGTCCCCTGCGATGACAGGCATGGGAAAGGGAGCGGGGCTCCTGGCTGTTCCAGGGAATTACATTCTGGGGAAACTCTACCAGCTGCATTTCCCCCTGACGGCTGATCAGTCTGGTACTGAGGCAGTAACCAAGGCAACTTTCACACCAGGGGTATCTGGAAAAGAGATGCTTTCTACCTCCTTTAAAAATTTTTTTTAAAGATTTTATTTTTTAGAAAGGGAAAAGGAGGGAAAGAGAGAGAGAAATATCAATGTGTGGTTGCCTGTTGTGCACCTCACACTGGGGACCTGCCCCGCAACCCAGGCTGATGCCCAAGACTGGAAATCACACCATTTGCAGGCTGGCATGAATTCCATGTAGATAAGAAGTAAAAAAAATAATAAAAATATTAGAAAAATTATTGGCAACTAAAGCTGCAGAATACCATCAGCTTTTTCCTTTCTTTCTTTTTTTCTTTTTTTTTTTTGTGGCAGCCCAAAAGGATAATAAGTATTAGATGGCATATAGGTGATAGAGAATATATTTTTTAATTAAAAAATTTTTTTACTGATTTTAGAGAAACAGCAATTTGTCATTCCACTCATTTATGCATTCATTGGTTGTTTTTCTTTTCTTTTCTTAAAGACTTTATTTCTTTTTGGGACTGGGGCAGAGAAGAAGAGAGGGAGAGAAACATCAATGTGTAGTTGCCTCTCACATATGTGCCCTGACTGGGAATCGAACCGGCGACCCGTTGGTTTGCAGGCCTAAGCTCAGTCCACTGAGCCACACCAGCCAGGGCCCTTTTCTCCTTTTTGAGTCCCCCAAAAGAGGAAAAAAAGTAGAAAATTTAAAACATGAGCAAGCTGGTATATTCAAATATACAGTATCTTCCTGTGATGCCTCATTGCTTAGGACCATCTAATCACCAGGACTGCCCTCAGGTCTGTGGGTAATAGACTGATTCCCTGTGGAACTTCAGTTTGATAAGCAGTATTTGTTTAGATGCAGGATACCTACCCCAAAATAAGAAAAGGCGGTCAGGAGAAGTTCAAATGTAAGGACTCGGCATCCATATCCTCAGTATACAAGCTCCAGATACATTTCACTCTTCGGGACGGCACTGCTGTTTTCTGTTGAAATGTATCTTCCACACTGGCCAGCCGAGGGCCAGCTGGAGGCTGAGGCGTGCTATCTTTCAGGACACTATGAATTTAAGCTCTGCCGGGCCAAGTGTGATCCTGAATGACAGGATCCAAGAACTATTTCGGTTTTTATAAAACTGAAATAGAGGTACTGTGAATAAGTGTCTGCGAGATAAAATCTAAAGGCCTACCTCACTTCTCTGCTTCCTTTTATCTCAACGAACTGGTCATTATTTAGGGAACAGCAACCAAGGGTTACATTTACTAAACCCCATTCCTCCATTTGCTGACAGCTGCTTCTTATCCCCCCTGTATAAAATACAGACGAGATAACAGGTGTCTCTGCTGCCGGAGTCCTGTCATGCTGGTTTTCTTGATCGGTGGGGGAGTGTTCCGTCACGGGACACCCACCCTTTGACGGGCAGCCTCCCAGGCTCACAGGCACCCACACCACCCCCGACTCTCGTGCAGATACACCACCTCAGGCCAACCTGGACTGACCTGGCATTTAATTCCAGCTTGGCTACAAGCACACGCTTCTGGGTCACAATACAGTCGACAGTCACAACCACACTCTTCCCGTGACAGGCGGATGGCTCGAAGTTCTTGCTTCTCTTCTGCATCGATGCGGTGGACCCCAGACGCTCTCAGCAGGGCCCGTCGCCGTTTGGTGGGCAGAGGCTGCAGGAAGAAGTAATCATCGACCTCCACATTTTCCACATCAATGTCTTCATCGGAAACATCATCCAGTGTCAGGCCATCGGCCTCCACCGACTCCACTGTCCCGTTCTTGGTCAGCTGCCAAGAGACAGGAAGGAAAGGTTAGCCCCTAGGCCCTTATCAGCCGGAGCCTCCTCACGGGCTAGCGTGGTTCAGAGCAGCACAGTCCCACCGAACTTCCTGGATTATGAAACACCCGTGCTGCCTAACACAGCAGCCACTAGCACGTGGCTCCTGAGCACTGTAAATGTAGCTAGTGCCACTGAGAAACTAAATTTTACATTTTATTTGATTTTAGTTCAGCATAAATAGCCACGTATGGCTACCATATTGGACAGTGTAGGTCAAGAGGATAAATCTAGAGCAGGAAAACAGGAAGCCTTACACCCTTCAATTTGCAGCCCAAAGGACACAAAACCACATTTTGGAAAGACGGGTACACTGAAGGGTAGTACACGGCTACTGTGTCCTTGTCAATAAGCCTGCATCCTCATACTGTCAACAATTCTCCATTCATACACAGAAGAGCTTCATTTCATTGGGAGGACAAAAATAAACAAATTATTTATCAAGCCCTTGCTTCCAGCCCACGGCCTAGAAAAAATGTATGCACGTTCTTTCTCCTCTCTAATCTGTTTTTATTTATTTCTGAGAAAAGCTGTCTGTGAGGTGTGAGGTTCGGTGGCATGCGTGACACTGACTGTACTCCCTACGGGCAGATCCGGGTTCTCTGGGCCAGGAAAGGGGATCCTAGCGGAAGGACAAGTTGAGGACAATCCAGAGCTGAATGCTTTCTGAAAACTTGCTAGAGAATTCAAGTAAAGAAAATGAGGCCTTACAGTCCCCAGGGCTCCGGAAGCTACTAGCAGGAAGAAAGCCAAGCTACTGGAGGGTTTGGCTTATTTTGTCAGACGGCCACAGAGTAGTGCTGGTAAAGGAGCAGCTCCTAGGAGAGATGTGATGAAGAGAGCCGGGTAACAGGCTACACACCTGTTTTGTTCATTTGCTTGTTAGCAGAGAGCTGGCAGAAAAATGAGGAAAGTGGTCCTTTTGAGAATTCCTTAGTCTATTATTTTTCTCCTCTTTTTCTTTTAAAGATTGTATTTATTTATTTAAGATAGATAGATAGATAGATAAATAAATAAATAAATAAATAAATAAATAAATAAATAAATAAATAAATTCCTCTCTAGAGGGGAAGGGAGGAAGAAAAAGAGGGAGAGAAACACCATTGTGCGACTGCCTCTCATGCGCCCCTTGTTGGGGACCTAGCCTGCAACCCAGGCATGTGCCCTGATTGGGAATTGAACCAGCAACCCTTTGGTTCTCAGGCTGGTGCTCAACCCACTGAACCACACCAGCCAGGGCTGTCTATTATTTCTATACCAACTACAAGGGCCTTGCCACAGACCTTAGGATTGTCTAGTTCACCTGGGTTGGCTTCCTCCCCAATCACTCTTGCTTTTGCTATCCTCTCAAAGAGATTAGAGATGCAACAGAAAGAAACCCACGTAGATGTAAGAATTTAATGTGTCGTGACAGAGGTGACTTTCATATGTCAGTTTTCTAATAATTTAATGATATTGGGACAACTGAATATTCTTTAAAAAAAGGCTAGAACTCCAATCCATACTATTCATAATGATGAATTCCATGTGGATAAAAGGCAAAAAAAACCCTAATAAAAGTATTAGAAAAATTACTGGCAACTAAAGCTGCAGAGTACCATCAACCTTGTCCTTCTTTTTTTTTTGTGGCAGCCCAAAAGGAAAATAAATATTAGATGGCATATAGGTGACACAGAATACATACATACATATACATATATATATATATATATATATATATATATATATATATATATATAAATATTTTATTTATTTATTTTCAGAGAGGGGAAGGGAAGGAGAGAGGGAGAGAAATATCAATGTGTGGTTGTCTCTCATGTGTCCCCCACTGGGAACTGGCCTGCAACCCAGGCATGTGCCCTGACTGGGAATCGAACCGCAATCCTTTGCTTCACAGGCCCGCGCTCAATCCACTGAGCTACACCAGCCAGGGCATATATTTTTTAATTTTAAAAAATTTTTACTGATTTTAGAGAGAGAAACATCAATTTGTCATTCCACTCTATGCATTCATTGGTTGTTTCTGGTATGTGTCCTGACTGGGGAATGAACCTGCAACCTTGGCATATTGGGACGATGTTCTAGCAAACTGAGCTACCTGGCTAGGGCCGGAATATATATGTTTGGGAGCAACTGCCTCCCCTACAGAGTGCTAAAGATAGAAAAAGTTCTAAGAAAAGAGTAAACTGGACTTGGGGAGGGCAAAGGGTTTCCTCTTGACATAGAAAGTTGTACTAGATGCCAGCACAGCTGCTGCGCACGAACCTGCTATAAGCAGGAATCCTATACCTTAAGCCTTGGGTTTGTCCCTGGACCTCCTCTGTAGGAGGCCACAGAACATGACAACATCCTGTTTTCACAGGTCATTCGTCTACCAGATTTAGGAGAGGGATTCTTCTTGGAGAGAGGGAAGCCTTCACTGCAGATGACGAGAACAGTGTATATCTGCCCAGCTGTTGCTATAGCAGCAGGAAGGGGATGGGGTCAGTGATGGAATTCCTCAGACAGAAGAAAGAGAAGCCTGAATGCCGTTCCAGTTAGAAGAACAGGTGTAAGGCTTTAGGAGCAGGGCAAGGGAAGCAGACACAGAGCTCGCCAAGGGAGAGATCTAGTTAACCCGCACCCTCTGCCACCAGCCCTCCGACCCTATGACACTGTGGTTGTCTCAGCAGGATTTCACCCACAACCCTGGAAACAACGCAGCCACCGTTTTAATGTGGGCCCACCAGAAACTTGGCCAGGCCTAAAGCAGTGTCCTCCCAATTTGGAACTAGAAACTCTGCAGGAAATTTTTGCAGACTGGGGGAAACTACAGCTGTAGAGTGCCAAGCAGCGCTAAGAGAGCAAGTGAATAGCTATATAGAGCCATCTGAGATGGGCCTCTTCCAGGCCCGCTCTCCTCGGGCACTTGAGCCGGTGCTGCACCAGCGCCAGGGGCAGGTTATACAATCGAAATAGCCCTTTGGTGATGCTGTTGTTCATACCCAAAGACTACCACCTAGAGATGATTGGCATTACAGAAACAGTAGGATCTTTGCAGACAATGAAAACGATCCAAACCTACCCTGTGCACGCGGGCAACAGATAACCAACTGACAAGGAACCAAAACACGGTCCTTCCTCAGGTTCTGGTGGGGCAAACTTGAATGCCTTCAAGTACTCACATTTTCAACCTTTAAAAAACAATGAGGGGGCAAGGGTAGGGAATTGTAGAGAAGTCATTTTGCTATCTCTGGTAGATTCCCCACTAGATACAAAGGAAGGGTGTCTCAGACTGAGATTTGATTCCAAATCTAAGCCTCTTCTCTAGGAAGATCTGGATGCCAAGGGCAATAAAAAAAAATCGATAGACCTAGATGGCCTCCTACTTTATTTTGGCACAAGGAAAGTACCAGACCCCAGACCCCCAAGGCACCTTCATCTTCTTGGCATGGAGTTTCTCCTCCTTCAGGTGCTCGCGAAGAATCTCCCGATGGTTCACCTCCTGCTCCTGAGCAAACTCACAGAGCGTGTAGCTGCGTACAGAATTATGACGCTGTGCCATGCCCAGAGAGCTACCACCCTGGCTGGGCACGCTGGTGAAACCCTGGCGCCGGGCAAAGTAGTACACAGTCACCTGGTCGAAGCGTACATTCTTCCTCCGCAGCTGCTTCTGTCGCTTCAGGATGGAGGTGGCTGTGAAGGGAGCACAGAGCAGTTTTATTGACCCAGAGATGGCCTGTCTGGGGACCTTACTATTTCCCATCCTCTAGGCTCTCAACTCTCCTCCAAAGGTGCTCCCCGTGCCCAGAGACATTTCTGATTTTTAAGTCATAAATGCAGAGCTGGAAGGGGCCGTGGCATCAGCTAGTCCACAGCGTTGCCTCCAGAATGACTGTACCCGAACAGACTGCAAACTCTATTTTTAGACATCAGCTGGGAAGAGGATTTCTAGGTAGTCTTCTCAGGATAAAACAACCCATATAACTTTATTGTTCAGCACAGCAGCTACCAGCCACATACATCGGTTTAAAGAAAAGTTAATTAAAATGAAGTAACACCTACAACTCAGCTCCACAGTTACACTAATTCTCAATTCAGGTGCTCAACACTACACACAGCTAATGGCTATTATAGTGGGCAGTGCAGACACAGAACACTGCTTTCATAACAGAAAATTCTATTAGACAATGTTGTATAATGATGCCGCAAACTTCTGTAACAGGCTAGTACGTGTTTTAGTCTTTTTAAAATTTTTTATTTATTTTTAGAGAGAGAGGAAGGGAAGGAATCGAATCAGCGACCTTTCTGTTCACAGGCACTTAATCCACTGAGCTGCACGAGCCAGGGTTAGGTTTCGCAGGTCATCAGGGCTCTGTTTCAACTACTCAACTCAGCCATTGTATCATGAAAACAATCAGACAATGGGTGTGGCTGTGTTCCAATAAAACTTTATTTACAAAAGTAGGCACTGAGCCAGATTTGGCCCACAGGCAACCCCTGATCTATAGTATCAGAAGTTCTTTCCAAGAAACTAATTGAGCCATGAGGACGAAGGAATCTGGAGTTGCCCTAGATGTGCAGGCAGTAAGGATTTATGTCCTGCTAGAGCTGTAGTATCATGGAACTCTACGGGACTTCGGTGGGGAAGGGTAGAATCCTGCACTCCTCTCCTCCTTCGATGTAATTCAGCCCATTCTGGGGACCCACAAACCAAGCACAAGTAAAACCAGCTAGAATAAATCAGACTTAAGTCTACAATATTAGAGCAATGAGATCCTCCAAAGAGCAAGCCTGAGGTAAGAATGGGAAAGAGTATGACTAAGGGAAAACCCCCGGGATGGTTAGCAGCAGCAGTCTCAAGAGCAGTAATGGGCTCTGAGGCTTGGGGACTGACTGGGTGCAGGGGTGGGCTGGGGGAGCGGTTCACTCACGTGCCAAGCTGGCAGTTGTAGGAGGATTGAGGCTGTCGCAGCTGTCAGCACTGTCACTGCTGGAGATTTCATCATCTGAGTTGGACACTGATGAGCCCACATCCACATCATCAAACTTCCTCTTGAGACCCGAGCCCGTGAATGCATCCATTGGTTTCAAAGGGGTTTTCTGGGGGAGCCCACCGTGTCGGCCCCAGAGCCCCCGCTCACCACCAGCTAGCCAGGTGCATTAGGATTCTGCCCAGGGGAAAAGAGGAATCAGCATTCTTGTCCTAAGACAGACCCCTCCCAAGTCTGTAAGTCAAGCCTCTGACTGAAGACAGAAAACATCTGAGCTAGCACTGATGTCTGGGCTCTCCAGATTGGGTCATTTCTCTCCTGATTCCCGTCAACATTCTCCTACTTTTGTTCCCCCTCGGCACCTCCAGTTTCAGTCACTCTCAGAATAATGAGATGAGTAACCGCAGCACCTTTCCCAGTGGAGTGAAGGCCCTTGGTTCCGAGCCAGCTGGGCTCCAGGCTTCATTAGCTGGGGCCTAACAGGAGCTGCTCCTCTGATCACACGGCGGAGCTCTCCAAGGGGCCAGCAAGAGGGTCTGGGGATCAACAGCAGAATTCGGCTGTGCCCAAACCTAGGCTACATCCCATTATTTTTCCTACTGAAGATATCTCCTGGCATTTCCCAAAGTGTAAATATGGAATAAACTTATTCAATGGATATTAATAGCTTTTACATGGAAATAAGACTGCCGTGTTAAAATAGTTTAGAAAACTGCTTATGGGAGGACCTCTTAGAGGCTTTTAATATGCTAATGAGCACAGGGAAGAGTGGGAGAAAATGGAACACAGTGCTTCACACACCTTATTAGGGACCCCTTTGTTTTCCAGAGTATTTTAGGGGGCAAATGATCCTTGGAACACACTTTGGGAAATACTGCTCGAGGCTCTCAGTTTCAAAGTACAGCGGCAGCCAGGGAAACGCTTTACCCAGATCTTCGCAGGTATAAAGTGTCTCTCCAGGCTCCTAAAAAGGTCAAATTTGGTTCTAAAGAATGGACTGAAGATTAGAATCTGCACTGGCTTCAAAACCCAGAATCTTTCCCAATCTCATACTGCTCCTTAAAACAAGGCTCTGCTGGTCTAGCATCCTCCTCTGTGCAAGGAAAACTTAGCTTTCCCTCCTTTGCCCTCTGCGAAGAAACCAGCAAGCAGGAAACAAGAACAAAAGAAGTGATGATTTACTCTGGTTACATCTATATGGCAGGCAGTGTCTCTAACAAGCTCTCACACAACCAAGGAGTCTGGATACAGATCTCTCCTCTGTCTTTGGATGTTAATTCCCAAGGAGGTAAATCTGCTCGACAGAAATGCTGTCAGAGCCAGAGCCACGTGTGATGATAGAGGCCTCCCTGTTCTGCCTCAGTAATGCCAGAATCTCCCCAGACTATGATCTCACTAGTTGCTAATTATGCAGCAGGAATAACAACACTGCCCAGAAAGACAGGGCTGCATTACTGCGGAGCAGCAGCTACCCAGAATATACTGTGGTGTCAAGAGACGCCTGCTGCAGAGCTGTTTTTCTGGACTATGCCTTTTAGATGCAATTTGCCTGCTCTTGGACAAGCTCTGCACAGTGAACCAGATCTAATAAGTACTTTAGAAATGACACTTCTGAATCTATCTATCTATCTAGACCTCATCAAAATCCTTTTTTAAGTCACAAGAGGGATCTAAGAAACCTCGGCTATATAGGTCTCAGACAAGCGCATTCCTGAAATAAATGTGGCCAGGGAGGGGAAAAATAGTAATCAAGCACTTGAAAGAATCATAATTAAATTGAAAAATGAGTTCAAAGTATCGTTTTTTTATTTTTTAAATCATTAAAAATATTTTTCAATTACAGTTGACATAATTATATTAGTTTTCAATTCTGTTTTTCAGGTTACTGATCTTGCCATCAGAGGTCACATTCCTAGGGCATGGTAAGAATGGAGACAGCCAAGGTCTTTTTATGGGTTAAGAATACTGCTGTGTTTAAAGATAGCTATTAACAAATTTCTCATTCCATTCTATTATGGGAGGGGGGAGGAACCTTTGCGAATGAGTACTTATATGGGTGGAATTAAAAAAAGAGAATAATGTTGACCACTGAATTTAATTATTCTTCCCGACTTAAAAACCTTATCAACCACATGAAAACTCAAACTGAGCTCCAAATTCTGCTTCCTCAAAAAGGGTGCAAGTCTAGCTTCAGTTTTAACTGAGATCCAGGGGGTGCTGCTACCAGGAAAGTGATCTTTTCTTCAGCCTGGAATTACTCAGGGATTTATGACTGGAAGCAAACACACACTTCTGGTTCTTCCCTGGGTATCTCTTTGCTTCTGGCAGTGTGGATTACCTTTGAATATTTCTCTTCAAGCCCTACATGACATTGGCTTTGGTCCAAAATCATCTTTATTATCAAAATTCTCCCCTATCTTCACCCAGTTGCCCTCAGGGCCATCATTTCTGTTAGGTTAATCTCTGTGCAGGACTGTTGGCTGCTAGTTCCAGCCCCCTTTGCCTTGTTATCTACGTCTTCTCCCCTTCTACTTCTGGAATAGTGGTTTCTGGGCAACGATAGGAGGTAGATAGAGAAGAAAAGATAAAAAGACGTGAAACGAAGGAGAAAAATATTTTTTAAATGCCCGAGAATAATAATCTATGGCTATACTTGTAAATAACGTGTATGTTGACTTAGCTGTCTTCACCTTATGTAGGATCTGTTACCATCACATTCTCTGACATTAACTCCATTATTTAAAAAAAGAATCCACCGATTCTGTCCTCACAACCAACATAAGTTAAAATCTCAACCCAGCTCTCCTTGTCCAACTCTCCGGTGTGAACTTGACTTGTTCACTGGGCACCAAGAACAAACTTCCCATCCACTTCTGCAGTGGCCTGTAGAGATCTTGCTTTGCAAGAGCAACAACTAGAATAGGTTCCATATTTTCCAATTTATCAAATCAGTCTCCTTTCAAACCACAATCAGCAACCAGTCATTCCCACCTCTCACCGGACAGAGGATCAATGCATGTGTTCAAGAAACACTTACAGGTTATACTCCCACCACTTGACCCCATACAGAAATAATCGAGGTGAGACTGGCAACGCAGGCCATAACTGACAGTTAACTGTCAAAATGAGCAACTCAAACAACAAATGCTTTTGAGAAAATAATGCAAACCTCTATAAAAGCTTTTAAATGCCAGTGAAATGAAAGGTCAACTGACACTTTCTGGCTACATGCTTTCCTGTCTTTTCTCAAATGTTTCTAGCTGAACATTTCCCAAAGGTATTCACAGTATGTAGAAGGCATTAGGCTAGCACCAAACAAAACAGATCTATGCATACGTGCATTTTAGTACTAGATCTAAGCCTTTTCAGAAATGATGATTCCTTTAACAAACCCCTAAAACCAGAATGCGACCCTGCCAAATTTTGTGGATGCAAAATATATTTGCAAAGTTAGGTAATAAAAGCCTCTCTCCTAAATGAACGCAAAATAAAACAAAGTATACATCTCACAGAGAAAGCCTCTCCACTCAACTGGAACCCAACCTTCTGCTAAGGGTCAAGGAACCAAAATCTCGATTCAGATCACTAGGGCTACCATTTGTAGCTAGGTCAGAGGAAGGAAAGCTTTCTGTGTTATAATCAACCTGAATAAGATGACCTGTCCTATTTCTCCTTTTACAATATGTTGTGGTTAATTCTTAAATACTATGAATTTCGTGGCTCGGTGTGTCCTCTGTGTGTTCATTACCAGGATCATGAACTTTTAAAGCACTCAAGTGAAAACACCCTTTAAAGTAGGTATGTCTAGGAGGTCCCCCTCCAACACTCCCTGGTGTTCACAGGTTCACTGACAGAAGGTTAGAATTTGGCTTCCTGTGCCTAAAGCGCCATCATAAGGAGGACACAAGCAAGATCTCTGTGGAAGAACTGGAACATGATGCTGGAGGGACCATTAACTCTCAAGGATATCCAGTCATTTATAACTCTGGCACACTCCAGCATCCTCCTGGCTTTGGAGATGTGCAAGACAGAAAGGCAGGGCAGAAAAGGAAAATTTGAATTAACCATGGGTTTACCTTGAACTGAAAACTGTAGGACAAGGGGACACTGTGTCTCTTGGGGATAACTTCTAACATTTCATACTGAAGAACGGTTTGTGTGACACAATGCCACTTCAACCCCCCCCCCCAAAACGATGAATCAAGACCACAGCACTAAAAGGGATGAATGGCAGTCAGCTGCGTGTTTGGGCCTGTGAAAAGGATCAAGCTAGCAACCAGAGCAAGTGATGCTTTCGTTTTCCCACACAACGCCAGAAAAATGGGAGACATATCAGGAACCTGAGCTGAAAGGACATGTCAAGTCACCAGTTCCCCTTAATGGAACCCTCGCTGAATCCTTCAGCTCCGGGCCCCTTTCTTTCTGATTCCTGATAACCTTCCAGCTCATTCTTATCTTCTGCAGCCTCTATCCAGTCTTCCCATCCCTTCCTGCCTGCTACTCAAAAATTCCCAACCACTCCTCCCACATTTTCCTCTATTCCCCCTCCCCTTCCTGCATTTCCCTCCATCCTACATCTTCTCCACTCCATTCCGAACTTAACCCTCATCCGCAATCGTGCCGGCTTCCAAGCCATCCATCGGTCTCCCTCGGGCTGCCCCCCGGAGTCCGGCCCGAGATCACTGTGCCACTCGCTCCCACGCCTCTCCCTACTCTTTCCCCTTCCCAACGGCGCCTTAGCTCCCCGCCCCCGACCACTCTCGTCCGAGCCTCCAGCATTTCTGACCCCTCCATCCGCGCGGCTCTGGGGTAACCACTCCTCCACCACCCGTCTGAGGGCCGATCCCCAGAAAGGACAAGGCGGCACCCTCCACCCCGCACCCCCAGGCCCATTACCGGCCCCGCCGCAGTTGCCTCCTCCCGTGATGGTCTCTGCCACCCCCGCTGCTGCCGCCGCCGCCGCCCTAGCCCTCTGGTAAGGAAGAAGGATAGCGCGAGTCCCGGGACTGCAGCTATGGTCAGGGAGTTCCCAGGGCCGCAGGACAGGGAGGAGAGCGGGTGGGCAGGTCGGCCGACAGGCGGCGAAGGGCGGACGGCTCTGGCAACTCGGGTGCCCTCGGCAGCAGCCGCCCAGAACCGCCCCGGCTCCGGCTAACAATAGGCTGTGGCCGCAGAGCCCTGGCTCTTATAGGCGCCGGCACGTCTTGACCGAGGCCCGAGGCAGGCTGGGAAATGGAGTCTACGTCCAGGCCCCACGCTCCACGGCATGATGGGAGTTGGAGGCGGTGACCAGAGCAAAGCCGAAACTCTCCGAGCTAACTGGCTCAGGAGGCGGTGTCTGTGCTGCAGCGGACCCTGGGAAAGCAAGTTAGGCACGGCTGCAGCCTTTCTAAGACGGGTGACACTCATGTACAGAGCTTCAATGACTAAACGAATTCTCTAAAACTACCCTTTTCCTTTCGACAGGACCACATTCCCATGCCTACAAAAGAACATAATCCTCCTTTGATCGTTTATGGGGTATCTTAGTCTTAAGCAGCATGACGTGCAGCAACCCGCCCAAGATATGAAGAAAATACAAGCAATATACTCAGTTATCTCAATATGTATTGATGGATTTTCTTTCAAAAATTATTTTTACAATATCATTGATCTTCACAACTTTGCAACCCACTTTTAAGATGGTATAAACGAAGACTCTGAAGCTATTTGTCAAGGACACCCTGACGTGGTTTCCCATTCATTTAGAATAGTTCATGTCTCTTCCTTAACATAAAAGGCCCTACAAGAGATAGATAGGCCCCACCTCTACCCCCAGGACCCCAGTCCTATGTCTTCTTGTTTCCACTTTCCCTTACCCTTACTGTGCTGGAACACTGGCCCACTGGCTTCCTTGCAGTTCCTTCAACAGGACGATCATGCTCTCATCTCAGGGCCTTTGGCCTGAAACACCATTTCACCAACTAGCCACATACGCACGCCCTCACTTAATATTTGCTCAAATGCCCCTTTATCAAAGACCTTCTCTAACCATATTTCTAAAATAGTGCTTCTCCTGCCCTAGCCCGGTGGCTCAGTTTGTTGGAGCACCATCCTGTACCCTGAAAGGCTGCAGGCTTGATTCTCTGTCAGGACACACGCCTACCTTGTGACTTTCATCCCCCTGTGGGGGTGCTTAGGGGAGGCAACCTATGGATGACATGGATGCTTCTCTCTCTCCCTTTCCCTTCCCCTTTCTCTAAAAACCAATAAACATATCATTGGGTAAGGATTATAAATAAACAAACAAATAACATGTTGCTTCCCCTTAGTCTCTATCCTCTTGCCTTGCATTTCTGAGTATTTACCACCTGACATATATTTATGTTTTCCACTCTTCCCTCACTTGACTAAATTTCATGAGAGAAAGGAATTGTTCTGTTTACTGTATGGTCAGTACCCCCTACAAAGCCTGGTATTTAACATTAAGGAGCTTAGTAGATATTTACTAGATATTGAATTGATGGATGGCAGGACTTAAACTCAGGTTAGGCTGGTTCCAAAGCCTAACTTTCCACTGCAACCAAGAACCGTGAACCCAGATCTAGAGGTTGGGTGGCTTGGAAAAAATGCCACAAATTCCATTCCTCCCCCCAGGTGACATCAGAGACTCTAAGGGGCTAAGAAACAACACTGCAAAAGGAAACAGCGGCGGGTCACAGAAAAGCAGTCCTCAGGGTACCATGTACTGGTCATCTCCCTACCGTGGAAATTTAGGCTGAAAGCAAACCCCAGCTCCCCATGCTCACTGGTAGTGTGACCCTTAACAAGATATGTCACTTCCCTGTGCCACAGCTCATGCATGTGGAAAATGAAGATGACAGTATGACTCTTACAGGGTTTTGTGAAGATTAAGTAGTTACTAAAGTATTAAATGTTTATAACACAGTCAGTGCTATGTAAATGTTCATGATTCTGTTCTCCCTGGACAAAGAAGACAAAAAGGAAGAGAAGGCCCCAGACCGCTCTGTGATTCAGAGGGATGAGGAACAAAAAACAGTCTAAAAGTCATGTGGGTAGACTAAAAAAGGTTTCATAGGCCCACACATCCAGACTTTGAGCAGTCACGGAGATTTACTGGGGTACCATCCGCCTCAGTGCCCAAGCTTTGCTGGTTAATGATACCAAACTAGATGACAACCAAAGCAAAGTCATTCTTTAAGATAGCAGAGTCCAATTTGGCATTAAGCTCTAGATCAGTCAAAATACTACCTGGACTGCCCTGGCCACTGTGGCTCAGATGGTTAGAGCACTGTCCTACAAACCAAAAGGTTGCCAGTTCCACTCCCAGTCAGGGCACATGCCTGGGTTGCAGTCTATCACAGATGAGAGGCAACTGATCAATGTTTCTCCCCCCCCCTTACCTCTCTCTAAAAATAAATAAATAAAATCTTAAAAATCAATAAACTTATCCTTGGATGAGGATTTTCAATTAGCAATAATTGCACCTCAGATAAACCTCATTGGCTATAGCTCATCTGAGAATTCTTTTTTAATATAAAATAAGGCCTGTGCACCTCATATTATGCAAATATATAAAAATACAGATTCACCTAATAGGTGAATGGGTTACTACTCATGTCCCAAAAGACCCCACACAGTACAAAACAGTATAATAGTGCAATAAATAACGCACTAATATTTTTTAAATAGCAAGTTCCCTTATAATTGACATTAATCCAATTGAAAATTTTAATTCCAGTATAACCTTTAAATCTCTGAATTGGAGAAAGCAAATGTTAGACTTAGCTGCAATTTCCCAGGTAACATGTTGAATAGGCCTATGTTCACAAGGAACAACACAGAAGAGATCTGGAAGTGAATAGGAAAATTGAAAAAAGCTGGAAGTTTAAAGCCAAATGTAAAATACAAGGTCATTAAGTGATTTAAAAAAGAGAGAGAAATAGGACGTCTGCCCAAGATGGAGGCATAGGTAGACACACCATGCCTCCTTGAACAACCAAAAGAAGGACAACAACAATTTAGAAACAAAAAAACAACTGGTACTGACAGAAAACTGAACTGTATGGAAGTCCGATAGCCAAGGAGTTAAAGAAGAAACATTCATCCAGACCGGTAGGAGGGGTGGAGTTGGGTGGTGGGGTGGAGAGGACTCACAGCAAAGCGGCAGCTGGCGGATCCAGTGAGGCGGTGGACTGTGAATGGGTGCAGCACACAAGACGACTGGTGGACTGGGCAGTCCCATATTCATGCGCATATAAACCAGGCAAACTGGGGAGCGAGACAAACCACGCAACCCAGGGCCCCAGCACAGGAAAATAAAGCCGCAAAACACTGAGTGAAAACACCTGTGGGGATTGAGGTTCCAGGACAAACTCCCAGCTTCACAGGAGAGTTCCTTGGAGAGACCCACAGGGACCTAGAACATACACAAGCCCACCCACATGGGAATCAGCACTACAAGGACCCAGTTTGTGTGGGGGAAGTGGTGGAAGGGACTGAAATCCTACAGAGAGAGGAGCAACTGCCATTGTTCCCTCTCGGACCATCCCCCACATACAGTGTCACAACCCAGTGACTGGGTTGCCCCACCCAGGTGAACACCTAAGACACTGCCCCTCATACATAACAGGCGCATCAAGACAAAAAAAACAATGGCCCAAATGAAAGAACAGATCAAAGCTCCAGAAAAAATACAACTACGCAACGAAGAGATAGCCAACCTACCAGATACACAGTTCAAAGCACTGGTGATCAGGATGCTCACAGAATTGGTTGAGTTTGGTAGCAAATTAGATGAAAAAATGAAGGTTATGCTAAGTGAAATAAAGGAGAATGTACAGGGAACCAATAGTGATAGGGAGGAAACTGGGACTCAAATAAATTATTAGGACCAGAAGGAAGACACAACCAAACAGAAAAGAAAGAAGAAACAAGAATTCAAAAAAGTGAGGAGAGGCTTAGGAACCTCCAGGACATCTATAAACATTCCAACATCTGGATTATAGGGGTACCAGAAAGAGAAAAGGAAGGCGAACAACTGGAAAAGTTATCTGAACAAATAATAAAGGAGAACTTGCCCAATCTGACAAAGGAAATAGACTTCCAGGAAGTCCAGGAAGCTCAGAGTCCCAAAGAAGTTGGACCCAAGGAGGAACACACTAAGGCAAATCTTAATTACATCAGCCAAGATTAAAAATAAAGAGAGAATGACTTCTGCCAAGATGGAGGCGTAGGTGGAAGCACTGCACCTTCTCACACAACCAAGTTTAAAAACAACAAAGTTTTAGCAACAAAAACGCAGCCAAACCACAGAAAATTGAACTACACAGAAGTCGAAAACAACGAACCCTTTAGCCAAACCGGTAAGAGGGGCAGAACCAGCAGCAGAGCAGGGTCAGGCAGGAAAGATCCACCGGACTGACCCAGGCATGTGACCCAGGTGCACCAGCAGCCGTGGGCGGATCCCAGGTGTGGAGAAGCGGGCAGACTCACTGAGGGCACAAGGAGGTGGACCCACTGAGGGCTGATTGCAGTCACACGTTCTCGCGCAGATAAACAGGTGAACGAGCTAGCGGTGGTGAGACAGACCATGAAGGCCCCAGTGGCAGGAAGCGGCAGAGGGAACCGCCATTGTCCTTCTCTGACCCCGCCCCCATGTAGAACGTCACAAAACAGTGACCTGGGTGGCCCCTCTCTGACCACGCCCCCACACGCAGCGTCAGAAACCAGTGACCTGGGTGGCCCTGCCCTGGTGAACAACTAAGGCTCCGCCTCTCATATGTAACAGGCACGAACAAATCAAAACATGGCTCAAGAACAACTCAGAACCCCAGAGCCTATAAATCTAAGCGATGAAGAAATAGCCATACTTTCAGATGCACAGTTCAAAACACTGATGATCAGGATGCTCAAACTCACAGAACAGCTCACAGAACTGTTTGATTTTAGTCACATATTAGAGGAACATATGAAGGCTAAACTAATTGAAATGAATGGAAATACACAGGAAACCAACAGTAATGGAAAGGAAACTGGGACTCAAATCAATGGCGTGGACCAGAAGGAAGAAAAAAAATGACCAAACAGAAAAGGATGAAGAAACAATTCAAAAAAATGAGGAGAGGCTTAGGAACCTTCAGGACACCTTTAAACACTCCAACATCCGAATTATAGGGGTGCCAGAAGGGGAAGAGGAACAGCCACCAGTGGAAAATTTATTTAAACAAATAATAAAGGAGAACTTCCCAAATCTGGCAAAGGAAATAGACTTCCAGGAAATCCAGGAAACTCAGAGAGTACCAAAGAAGTTGGACCCAAGAAGGAACACACCAAGGCACATCATCATTACATTAGCCAAGATTAAAATGAAGGAGAGAATCCTAGAAGCAGCAAGAGATAAGGGGACAGTCACCTACAAAGGAGTGCCCATCAGACTGTCAGCAGATTTCTCAAAAGAGACCTTCCAGGCAAGAAGGGGCTGGAAAGAGGTATTCCAAGTCATGAAATCCAAAGACCTACAACCAAGATTGATCTATCTAGCAAAACTTTCATTTACAATGGAAGGGCAGATAAAGTGCTTCTCAGATAAGACCAAATTCAAGAAGTTCATCATCACCAAGCTCTTATTATATGAAATGTTAAAGGGACTTATCTAAGAAAAAGAAGTTGAAAAAAACATGAACAGTGAAAGGACAGCAAACTCACAGTTATTAAGAACCACACCTAAAACAAAAGCAAACTAAGAGGACAGCTAGATCAGGAGCAGAACCATAGAAATGGAGATCACATGGAGGGTTAGCAACAGGGGAGTGGGAGGAGGAGAAGGGGGGGAGAAGGTACAGAGAATAAGTAGCATAGACAGTAGGTAGAAAATAGATAGGGGGAGGGCAAGAATGGTATGGGAAATATAGAATCTAAAGAACTTGAGACACATGGTCATAAACTAAAGGGGGGAATGGTGGGGGAGGGGTGTGCAGGGTGGAGGGGAATAAAGGGGGGAATAGAAGAACTATAATGGCATAATTAATAAAATATATTTTAAAAAAATAAAGAGAGAATCTTAAAAGCAGCAAGAGATAAGGAGACAGTTACCTACAAAGGAGTTCTCATAAGACTGTCAGCCGATTTCTCAAAAGAGACCTTGGAGGCAAGAAGGGTCTGGAAAGAAGTATTCCAAGTCATAAAAGCCAAGGACCTACATCCAAGAATGCTCTATCCAACAAATCTTTAATTTAGAATGGAAGGGCAGATAAAGTGCTTCTCAGATAAGGTCAAGTTAAAGGAGTACATCAACTTCCGCCAAGATGGAGGCATAGGTGGAGATGCAATGCTTCCTCACACAACCAAGTTTAGAGACAATTAAGTAATAGCAACAGAAAACAGCCAGAACACAGAAAATTGAACTTTTCGGAAGTCTTATAACAACAAATTCTTCAGCCTGACCACTAAGAGGGGCGAAACCAGCAGCTGGCAGAGCGGGGTAGCACAGGAAAACTCAGTCAGACGGACTCAGGCACGCGGAATCCAGGCGCAGGGTTGGGCCTGGTGGGCAACTCAGCAAGCAATCTCGGGGAAACAGCGAGGGAGCAGGGCTGCGGGTTGACTGTGGTCACGTGTTCGCGCATTCGTCTGTGGATAGACAAGCGAGGGAGTGGGCCATTGGACGAGAGCCAGCAGCCTCAGCGGCAAGTGCTGGCGGAGGGCGCTGTCATTTCCCCGCTCTAACCCTGCCTCCACATACAGCGTCATAATCCAGCGACCTAAGTGGCCCTGCCCCAGTGAACGACCTAAGGTTCTGCTCCTCACCCATCTGCGAGAAACAGCAGAAGGGGCCGCCATTTCCCTGCTCTGACCCCGCCTCCACATACAGAGTCACAACCCAGCGACCTGGGAGTCCAAGGCTCCGCTCCTCAGACTTAACGGGCACAAACAGGCCAAAAATGGCTCAAGAAGATCTCAAAGCCCCAGAGCCTATAAATCTAAGCGATGAAGAAATAGCGAAACTCTCAGACGCACAGTTTAAACACTGGTGATCAGGAGCCTCACAGAACTGGTTGATTATAGCCACAAATTAGACAAACATATGAAGGCGAAACTAATTGAAATGAAAGGAAATGCACAGGACACCAATAGCAATGAAAAGGAAACTGGGACTCAAATCAATGGAGTGGACCAGAAGAAAGCAAATAATGGCCAAACAGAAAAGAGTGAAGAAGCAAGAATTCAAAAAAATGAGGAGGGTCTTAGGAACCTCCAGGACATCTTTAAATGCTCCAACATCCGAATTATAGGGGTACCAGAAGGGGGAAAGGAACAGCCACCAGTGGAAAGCTTATTTGAACAAATAATAAAGGAGAACTTCCCAAATCTGGCAAAGGAAATAGACTTCCAGGAAATCCAGGAAGCCCAGAGAGTACCAAAGAAGTTGGCCCCAAGAAGGAACACACCAAGGCACATCATCATTACATTAGCCAAGATTAAAATGAAGGAGAGAATCCTAGAAGCAGCAAGAGATAAGGGGACAGTCACCTACAAAGGAGTGCCCATCAGACTGTCAGCAGATTTCTCAAAAGAGACCTTCCAGGCAAGAAGGGGCTGGAAAGAGGTATTCCAAGTCATGAAATCCAAAGACCTACAACCAAGATTGATCTATCTAGCAAAACTTTCATTTACAATGGAAGGGCAGATAAAGTGCTTCTCAGATAAGATCAAATTCAAGAAGTTCATCATCACCAAGCTCTTATTATATGAAATGTTAAAGGGACTTATCTAAGAAAAAGATGTTGAAAAAAACATGAACAGTGAAAGGACAGCAAACTCACAGTTATTAACAACCACACCTAAAACAAAAGCAAACTAAGAGGACAGCTAGATCAGGAGCAGAACCATAGAAATGGAGATCACATGGAGGGTTAGCAACAGGGGAGTGGGAGGAGGAGAAGGGGGGAGAAGGTACAGAGAATAAGTAGCATAGACAGTAGGTAGAAAATAGACAGGGGAGGGTAAGAATAGTATGGGAAATGTTGAAGCTAAAGTATGACACATGGACATGAACTACGGGGAGGGGAATGTGGGTGGGAGGGGGTGTGCAGGGTGGAGGGGAGTGAAGGGGAGAGAATGGGACAACTGTAATGGCATAATCAATAAACTATATTAAAAAGAAATAATGCATCAATGATACAGAAAATAAAAAGAACTGATGGTATTAACCTCATTTCATAAAGGCCATCTTTTTCAGTTTATTCTATTTCGTAGTGATAGTAAGTTCTTCCTCATTTAAGCCTTGGAGTTCATATAATAAAACAAAAATTTAATCATAAGCTGAAAATAAATATTCTCGTAGAAGAGCCTTAGTCTACACCAACAAAAATACAGCATTTTTAAAAGAAGAATGATGTACGATTACTCTACATGAAATGTTACACAGGGTGGGGCAAAAGTAGGTGTACAGTTGTTCATGTGGAAAATAATACAATAATTAATAACTAATATGAGAATAAACTGTTTCAAGTACTCACAACTGTTTACCCACTTTTGGCCCCCTCTGTATAAATTATGCAGCCAGGTGGGGCCTTTGTACCATTTCTGTTGAGGTTGTGGAGTTCTTATAACAGACCAGTGGAGGCAAACGGACGAAAGGTGTCCAACCTGTTGGCATCTCTGGGCAACACTGGAAGAAGAGTTGTCTTGGGTCGCACATTAAATACACTATGACACATAACCACAAAGAAAACCTCACGCTTTACGTAAATTTACCATTTTATATTGGGCCGCGTCCATAGCCATCTGGGCCATGCAGTTGGACATTCCCGCCAGAGGAACCATCCGCGCCGGGGAAACTATGATTCAGAAAAATGATAAAATGGCTCTACTGTAGCTCTCTAGTCCCAAGCTATATGGAATTGTTAAGTAGTGGCCAGAGAAAAAACCCACAGGGAGGGAGGGAGAAGCTCAGTCCTAACTTCAAATATTTGTACCCCAAATTTGCATCACTTTCAAAACTGAATGCAGAAGCTCCGTTCAATCCTTCACAGTGGTTTGCAAGACAGCCCACATCTCTGCAGCAACCCTATATGAAGGCCTTTCTCAGAATATCTGGGCATACCGAGGGTTTTCAGAACACTCCTTCACTAGGCATAAATTAGAAACGGCTAGCTCCATTATGCCACACTTTCTTCCCTTGCCATGCCTCTCCGTGCCCCTCCCCCACTCGCAGTGGTGAGATCACGATCCAGCCTCACAACATGCCCTGTCTGACGGCCCCTGGATCCCAGGAGTCAGAATGAATGCCCCTCACGTGGACC